CTGTTGCTATAGTATTCCAAGTGGTTGCTAAAGTGTTGCTAGGCGGTTGCTATCATATCTCAGGTGGTTGCAAAGGTGTTGCTATCTGTTGCTATGGCATTCCAGGTGGTTGCTAGGCCATTGCTATGGTATCCCAGGTGGTTGCTATCTGTTGCTAGCCCATTACTATTGTATCCCATGTTGGTTTCTAAGGTGTTGCTATGGAATCCCAGGTGGTTGCTAATGTGTTGTTAACTGTTTCTATGATATCCCAGGTGGTTGCTAAGGTGTTGCTATCTGTTGGTATATCATAAGTGGTTGCTAAGGTGTTGCTAGGTCATTGCCGTTGTATCCCAGGTGGTTGCTAAGGTGTTGCTAGGCCATTGCTATGGTATTCCAGGTGGTTGGTATAGTGTTGCTATCTGTTGCTATAGTATTCCAAGTGGTTGCTAAAGTGTTGCTAGGCGGTTGCTATCATATCTCAGGTGGTTGCTAAGGTGTTGCTATGGCATTCCAGGTGGTTGCTAGGCCATTGCTATGGTATCCCAGGTAGTTGCTATCTGTTGCTAGCCCGTTACTATTATATCCCATGTGGGTTTCTAAGGTGTTGCTTTGGAATCCCAAGTGGTTGCTAAGGTGTTGCTATCTGCTGCTATGATATCCCAGGTGGTTGCTAAGGTGTTGCTATTTATTGGTATGATATCATAGCTGGTTGCTAAGGTGTTGCTAGGCCATTGCCATTGTATTCCAGGTGGTTGCCTAGGTGTTGCTAGGCCATTGCTATGGTATCCCAGGTGGTTGGTACTGTATTGCTATCTGTTGCTATAGTATTCCAAGCGGTTGCTAAAGTGTTGCTAGGTGGCTGCTATCGTATCTCAGGTGGTTGCTAAGATGTTGCTATCTGTTGTTGTGGTATTCCAAGTGGTTGCTAAAAGGGTTGCTAGGCAGTTGCTATTGTATCTCCAGTGGTTGCTAAGGTGTTGCTATCTGCTGCTATGGTATTCCAAATGTTGCTGTTGCTAAGTCACATCAATGGGTTGATAGGCCGTTGCTATGATATCCCAGGTGGTTGCTAAGGTGTTGCTATGGTATCCCAGATGGTTGCTAAGGTGTTGCTATCTGTTGCTATGATATTCCAGGTGGTTGCTAAGCTGTTGCTATGGTATTCCAGGTGGTTGCTAGGCCATTGCTATGGTATCCCAGGTGGTTGCTGTCTGTTGCTATGGTATTCCAGGTGGTTGCTAAGATGTTGCTGGCCCATTGCTATTGTATCCCAGGTGGTTGCTAAGGTGTTGCTATCTGTTGCTATGATATTCCAAGTAGGTCATTGCTATGGTGTGCTGCTAATGTGTTGATAGGTTGTTGCTATGATATTCCAGGTGGTTGCTAAGGTGTTGCTAGGCCATTGCTATGGTGTTCCAGGTGGTTGCTAAGGTTTTGATGGGCTGTTGCTATGATGTCCTAGATGGTTGCTAAGGTGTTGCTATCTGTTGCTATGGTATTCCAGGTGATTGATTAGGTGTTGCTAGGCCAATGCTACAGTGTTCCAAGTGGTTGCTAATGTGTTGATAGGCTGTTGCTATGATATCCCAGGTGGTTGCTACTTGCTAAAATGTGTGTGTGTGTGTGTGTATACTCATTTCCCATGGGGAAAAATTAGTGTTTGAACAAACACTGCATGAACACTATACCAACACTGTTCTAGCTTGACAAGTACAGCCTGTGAAAACGGAACCAAAAACAGCGCAAAACAATAAAACAAAACAACAGAACTTTTGTCAAGCCAGCTTTATTTGAATTTACAGTACAATACAAGCATTAAATGATATGGTCATCATTTACATCATTTACAGACCCAGGAATACAAGCTTTGCCTTTCAATGGGCTGATTCTGGCCTGCAGGCACCCAGAGTTGGACTGTGCTTTCTTGCATCAGTACAAGCGCTAGTAGGATATAAGCTTGAAGATCAGGCTGTTTGTTCCATTGGAAGCCATGGATAAACTCTGGGGATGGGGCAGTAGTTGGCTAGCAAAATGCCCTTTTCAGAAACATTTGAAAGCTTTTAAAAGCAAAAAAAAAAAAGATCATCATGTTGCAACATCCAATGCTGAAAAGACTTACCCAATTACAATGTAAACCAGTCAGGGCCAGGATCTACAGATTTCTGTTCCAGCCTAAACAGGCCTTCAGTCAACTCTTATGCTACTTCAGAATGATTTGCTAAGTGTGACTTTCATGTGTTTAATGTGCAACTATATGTTGCAAACAGCGACGGCTATCATAACAGAGAGGGCCTGTAAAAACGTCACCTGCTGCTCGCTGCCTCGCTGCATATTTGCGGTCAGGCAGCCCCATCTTGTGGGCACAAGTGGTACTGCAAGACGAGCGTTCAGTCTTACCCTGCAGTCTCTCCGCTGACCACCAGAGGGCAGCGCAGAGAGCGCATATCGTTCCTATAGCAACTAGACGCCAAACAGCGTCTCTGAAGCGGTGAGAATGGTAAGTAGAGTTAGATGTTAA